AATGTATCACAGAAATGTTTTAAATTAGTTAATTCTTTGTTTTTCTCCTGTGATATAACGAGTTATGAAGACATTTGTCTATTTAATAAGATGGCTTAAAAATATCTAGCACAGTGAATAGGATCATAGTGAATTCTAATCATGAAAAGATATTTTCTTTATACTAAAAAAGTATGACTTTTGAGCCATCATTGAGAAACTATGCTTCAAATGTATTATTTCCAAGTCTAAGACTTAGGAATTAATTCTAATCCATGTATGGATGTCTGATCTTGATCCCTGCATTTTCAAAGACTTAACTTGCTTTATCCTCAGAAAGTGCTAGTCATATTGACTCATAAAACAATCAGATACTAGAGTAGAATTTATTTCATTTAAATACATGCCACTAATTGGAAATCTCTGGCATCTTAGACTTCTTTTATCCTTTCAAATATAAAGTACTATTTCAATCATACAATTTTACTTAATAGAATGTAATTTTCCAACCACTATAATTATGACAAGCACATGCTACATATGTCTATAATGAACATTTTCAAGAGTGCAAGCTGGAGTTTAACTGAAAGGGTAACTTTATTCTCCACACTCAGTTTCTGCTTCTGCTGAGTTAGAATCATGGCAGCTGTTTGTAGCTGCAGAGCCAAGAGTAGAGACATGTTGACCCACTTGCTTCCTGGCTATTAAGCTCTTATTTTCCTTAGCTCTGTGACCTTGAGAAAATTACTTACCACACTCTGTGCTTGCATCCTCATCTACTTGGTAAATGAGATAAGTACATTATTATACTTATAAGGTTGTTTGAAAGCTTAAGGAAAGTAATAAATGTAAAAAATTTAATGGAGTGCTTAGAACCTAATAAATTAATGTCAGACATTACTATCTGCCTTAATAAAGTGATAGTGCAAAGATACATGGTTTATGGCATACTCACAGGAGACATTCTATTTTTTTTTTTAAAACCACCACAGGAGTAAAGTTCACAGTGGCCTTAGAAATGATAACATTTTTAACTTTTCAATTGGGAATAGTATGAACCTACTCATTTGGAGTTGAAGACATCCTCATGTTTCTATAGTTATTTCCAGCTTTATTTTTTGTTCTATAACTATAAAGCCTGCATTCTTTGTGTAGTTTCATGTTCTTTTCTAGATTTTACCAAGTAGAAAGATAAATGTCTAGTCAGCTGTGGCAAGATCCACTTCTTGGTCAGGGGACAAGTCATGCATTTTAAAACTCAGTGATCACTCCTCTTGAAAGTAATATGGCTCTGGAGCTGATCTCGCCCTCCAGGGAAAGGCTGTGCCAAGGCAATGCCAGGCCCCCTCCAAGGTGCTCAATGCATGTCAAGGTGAACAGCACCAATGTTGCTGCCACTGCATGGTACCCTTAAAAACCGCAGGGTAATTTGTAAGGAAGGAGAAATTCTTTTTTTGAACTTCAGAATTTAAGAGCTTTGGATTGCTTTTTATAAAATGAACGCTGAATCTGAGGGAGAAATAAGAAATATGTCTTTTTCCCTGATGTAGTGTCTGGCATTTCTAGTGTTCCTGAAATGATTAACCACTCATGATAAAGCCTTAGCAGTTACGTTGTTAAAGCTAAGAGCACTGATAGCTCTTCCCGCATCATGCATCAGGGCTTGTCCTCAAGCAACTCGGCAGCTCACATAACATGATAAAACCCAAGGTGAGGAATTAAATTCATAAACACATTTATATATTGCTACAAGAGTTTAAGGGAGCTAGAATTTCATCTCTAGGGTTGAGAAATACAATAATATTTGTAACTAAATTATATTTATGTTTGTAAAGAAGATCTACTAGAGTAAGAGGAAATTGATGTTATTTGGGGTACCTTATATCTCAACATAAGGGTAAAGTAACATCACGTCAACATCTTTACACATGAATGAATGGAAAAATCTGTAACTAATTAATCTCTTATACCAATATTATAGTAGTTTTTAAAAGTGCTACCAATGGGGAAATCATTATATATTTTAATAAAGGGACTAAAATTAACATCTAAACATACTAATTTTTCAATTGCTATTAGGTTGATATATTTATAAATTTGTTACTTACATTAAGTGCATTATGAGTAACAGCTCCCCCCAAATCCTCCTTACAAAATGAGACACACCTAGGGAATATTAAAGAATTCAGTTGAGTAAATTGAAATGACTTAATTTCTACTTTCTGAATTTTACATGTATTCCACCCTCTTCTTCAGTGAGTATATCTGGTGGGCACCATAATCACCTAGGGGACTTGTTAAAACTCAGATCACTTGGCCACTCCACTAGTGTTTTTGATACTGTAATCACCTGTAAATACTGTTGCCCCAGTGGACTGCTACAGAACACTTACAAATACTGACTGACATGAAACATGTATTTACTAACCTTAATAAGCAGTTAGAGCAAACATTATATTAAAATAGCAAAAATACTACAAATCCAGATTCTATACCTGTGTATAAACTCCCTGGTTGTGTGAACCTGGGCAAATTGTTTAACACTTTTGCGTGAGTTCCTCAGCTCTAAAATGGAGGTGATAATCGTATCTATCTCATAGAGTCACTGGGACAACCAAGTGAGTTAATACATATATATATGAAGCTTAGATCAGTGCCTGGCTATTTTTATTGCACTTGTATAATAATATTTATTTATATAATATTTGCTTTGTTCATATTACTTATCATATATAGTAAACACTATGAACTTTAGTTCTTATCCTATTTATAATTTCCTATTTTTGGTATCATCGTACAATTCTCTTTAATTGCCATCCTATATTATAGCCAGTTCCAATCCTGCATCATTTCTACTGCATCCATTATTCCTATCCATAAAACATTAATTCTAAGGTTAGATATCAGCCAAATCTAACTTGCTACAATATTCTTAAACATTGTTATCCTAGGTCAAGTAATTCCTTCCTTCCTTCTTTTGCTGCTTTATTGAAACACAGACACAAATGTTTCATTTTATTTTGTTTTTCATTAGCAGATTTTGACCTTAACTGTAAATTTACTGCAGAGTTAACTCTGATACAGACTGAAACACAGGGTAATGAAAGGTGAGACGTTATATACTTGACTGACATTAAGTGTTTACATAAAAAGAAACCAAGTGGAAATGCTACTCCATTTTATACATTAACAATGGTCCCAGCATCCTTCATCTTCTATAGCAAGTAAGTTTCCTAGGCTAATTTTCAGAGTTTGAAATCTTGACTACTACTGGAATTAAGAAATGTGTTCTAGTTACAAAAGCTTTTTAGCTGATCATGGTGCTGGTTTGCTATAGTGGAAAAAAAAGCCCATTGTGATGCTTGTGTATTTACTAACCTTGTTTCATAATTATGGAAGAGAGAATATGGAAATGTCATAGAAATGAGTTTTGTGTAATGTTATTAACTGAAGTGATTTATACAAAACAAGATGTCTTCAGGAGTCAAGCATTAGAAAAATCCCTCCTAATCCAGGGTTTAGAATGTCCTTGTATTCAACTGGTACTTGTGCTGGAGTAAATTACTGGCCTCAAATATCTATCCTTTCCCACTGACATTCTCTTTGTCATGTAAGTTTGCATATTCTCCCAGTTCAAGAAGAGTGTACTTCCTTTTCCCTTTTCTTTGGGCTTGATCACTTCATGTACTTTGGCCAATGCATATGGGTAGAAGTGACAGTGTAACACTTTTTAGCATAGCTCTTTTCATCTTGCTCAACTTCCTTGCCATAAGAAAAGCTCTCCCTATCAGCCTGGGTTTCACCACATGAAGATCAAAGTTTGACTTATAGCAAGAAGCCTGGCCCAGTGTGATAGGCAGGCTGAGCAGAGCTTTCAGCAGAATCAAGAAAAACCAGTCAATCCTCAAGTGACCTGAAGATGTCTAAGAAATAAATGTTGATTATTGTATGTTACTGAGATTTTGTGGTTATTGATTATACAACAGTAGCTGACTGACATATATTGAATTTCACTATTATAAAAAAGGCTTTATCTTTTTAAGAAATAACTTTAAAAATAATTCTGGCAGACAATATAATTTTATATACATTGAAGAAGGAATCAGCAAGGTTTTTTCAGTACCAGTAACTGTGAGGAATGATAACTTATAAAATAATATTACACATAATTAATAAACTAAATTTGTATTTGGTGTTTCCTGAAAATGAAGGTAAGTAATGTGTGCTCATTAAGCTTATAGGGTATAATTTCAATAACTGAAATGAAGTCCAAGAAATTGTGTAACTAGAAAATTCAAGTAATATTTCTAATAAGTATAAAGTATATTTCTGAGTGGATTAAGTACTCCTAATGACTTAACTATATCCAATTTAATTACATTTTAACAATCACAGGAATAGGATAACATATTTAATGAACAGAGTCAAAGGAAGTATTTGTTGAAAAACAAGTACAAAACATTTTAAACAACTAATACTTTGAAAAATACACAAATGCTGTTTATATAAAATTAAAAGCCATTAGGTTTCCTAACATTAAAAACTTCTTCTATATAAATACCCTCTAAGATGACAATGATGTAAGTATAGCAATGTAAGAAAAAAATTTAAAATTTTATTTATCATTTGTTTTAAACACTGTTTTAAAAGTGTTTAAAACAACAAAAGTTTAAGATTTTTTTTCTCCCCACCATGGATTTCTTTTATTTCCCTTTAGCATCTAGTATGCAGAAATATTTCAAAATTTAAATGTCTTTTATAAGATAGACAATAGCTCATTTTTGAGAATAACAGAGCTAGACTATATTGACATATTGTACAATATAATTACATGAAAATGACGGGGGCATTCTCAACTGAAACTGACATCATTACAGAAAAATAACCTATCACCTTTCATATACTATTTAAGACTAAACATTAAATTAAACTGATGATTATATTGTAAGATCAATTTATAATGCTCATTTAAAATACTCTTGAAAAAATTTTAAATACATCTCTTATCATATTTTGGTAAATCACGAAGGAAGTAAGTTATTTTTAGAAGCTTCTATCTCTGCTGAGTTCAAGAGAATGCCCAGTCTCCATAAATAAAAAGCAAATAAAGGAAATGCATCAGAGAGCTGAAAGATAGCTTTATCATGCTTCTGAAGAAATTTCTTGATTTCTGGGTCATCATGATCTTTACATGAGGTGTGGTCTTTTTTGGTTTCAATTTGAAGAAGTTGCTCCAGAATCCAGAACAGGCAGAAAGTATTTTCATAGCGTGTGACATCATAACTGGCTTGCACCTACAAATAAACAATGACATCCATTACATTATTGAGAACCAGTTTTTTCCTTCATGGTTTATAAGGCTTCAACTTTTTTCTCTGAACTACTGCTATACACATGGGTTTCCTCAAACCCAAAATCCAGAATGTTCCAAAATTCAAAACTTTTACAGTCACAACATGGTATCACAAATGGGTAATTCCACATATGAGTTCATGTGACAGGTGGCAGTCACAACACAGCTGTGCTACATATATTGTGTGAAAGTAGTTTTAGGTGGTATGTATATAAGGTGCATATGAAACATAACAGAAATTTGTATTTAGATGCAGATTCCATCCCTAAGATACTTCTTTATGTATATGCAAATACTCAAAAATCCAAAAAAAAGCTCGAATGTAAAATACTTCTGGTCCCAAGCATTTTAGAAAATGAATACTCACAAAATTGTAACTCCTTATTCAGATGCATCTGAGAATATCTGGCCAAGAGTCTTACATATAACAATGCTGGGTGTTGAATTGACTATTTTGCCTAAAATTTCTAATATATGACCCTCCTGCCAATAAAAATATAAGGATCTTTTGGGGCGGGATGTCAGGGACATATATGGATGTAAAACTTGAGAAGAGTTGTATGTGAGCAACCAGATATGGTCTCATTCTGTCTACACAAGTCAAGAGAGCAGCAGTGTCAGAGTATGGAGTCAGAAACATGGACACAAGAAGTATAACTATATCTTGTAGGATATATTTGGCCTAGATGGCAAAATGTAAGGTGAGTAAAAAGAAGGCCTAAAAAGCAGACAACAACAAGCATAACACATAACTGATACAGAATAGCTGTATCAGTGTGAAAACAGGCTGGTTTTATTATTTGCTTATTAATTAAGAAATAAGTTAGAAGCCTTATGAGGTAAGCAGAATGCTTATCACCATTTTACAGGCAGGAAAATTGGGCCTCCGAGAAGTAGACTAATTAGAACATCAAGTCTACAGACCCAGACCAGAGACTTTCTTACACATTTTGTTCAAGTTCACTAGAAAAGTATTACAATTGGGGAGGAAGAAGAAATAAATGTGTTGGAAACATTTACTCACTTTCTCCACTATTATAATCCACAAACAAAAGAACATTGTTTTAGACTCAAAGGAATTTACTCTTCAAAAAGGTGAAATAAGCAGACTCAAATATATACAGATTATTGAAAATAAATAAGTACTTTTTAAAAAGACTTATAATAAGACCTGTCTCTGAGGTGCATATTAATCCTGCTTCAAGCAGGAGCCACTATTGTGCCACTTTGGGAACTGAGCCCACACCTTTCCCAAACTCAGGCATGTCCCACCCCCAGCTGTAGCCACCTGTGAGACCCTACACTGTGGACATGTTCTGTGGCTGCAATGTGCCCTCCCACATCTCAGACAGAGACATTCCCACAGCGAGACAGTTTGTACTCTGGGCCCAAGAGCCATGGTCTCCCTCAGCATGCCTCTGTTCTAGGCTACAGATCAGAGGACACAGAGTTAGCCTCTGCACTGAATGTGGAGCCAATGTGCCTAGACTCCCATTCTCAGTTTTTCAACTATTTCACAAGCACCTGCACCTTGTACACTGTTACTGATTCAGCAGTGGGTGTACTTGAGCACCAAGAACTAGTCCATTAACTGCCCAGACACCAGAGCCAACCACTAGGCCCTGGTGCCACAACCTGCAAACCAAACCCAGTGCCAAAGCAGCAACTTAACCTGGGGGAGAAAAAAAAAGATTGGGAAAACCTTAGCAGCCATCAATACTGAAGACCTCACTCAATAACATTTGGTGACACAGCAGACATCCAGTGTTGGCTGCTAAGGATTCCTCCAATATTCATCAAGACTGACCTCAGTTGACAGGGTTCCATAGAAATTACAAAGCTGCCCCCTTACTGGTGTCTGAACCACTGCTTTACCTAGCAAGCAGCCTTATATCCCATGTCACAAAGGGAAAGGAATGTCTTTCCACACCAAAACTAGCTTGTGAAGTCAGGAAGAGATGACTGCTCTACCAAATGCACAGATATCAATGTAAGACAAGAAGAAATGCTGAAAAACAAGGAGGTATCACCACAAGGAACACAGTAATCTCCTAGTAGCTGACCCAAAAGAAATGAAGATATACAAAATGCCTGAATAAGAATTCAAAATAATTATTTAAGGAAGCTCAGAGAAGTTCAAGAAAATACAGGGAAAATATAAATTAAATTGAGGAAACATAAATGAAGAAGTTAAAAAATTAACAGATAAATTGAAGTTATTAAAAAGGCAAAGAGAAATTGTGGAGATGGTATGAAAAATAAAATGAATGCAATGAAAATAAAATAATAATGTAAATAGCAGAATTTATCAGGAAGAATTAAGATCTGTTATTTGAAAGCAAATAAAAAATCCAATGAAAATTAATGAAGTAAATGTACATGACTTAGGGACAGCATCAAAAAAGCAAATATTCTAACTATACGACTGAGAAAAAGTGTCAGACAAGAGCCTTATTTAATAAATAGCTAAACATTTCTCAAATTTAGCAAAGGATATAAATATCTATACACAGAAAGAACAAGGCCTCCATGCGCATTCAATCCAAATAAGAGTGCACCAAGACATACCATAATCAAATGGTCAAAAGTAAAAGACAGAGAGGATTATGACAGCATCAAGAGAAAAGAAGCATTTCTTATACAAAGGAGTATCACTCAGATTAATAGTGGATTTCTCAGCAAAGTGTTTATAAGCCAGAGCCATAAGGATGATTGTTCAAAATCCCAAAGTGAAAAAAACACAAAGGAAGAAAAAAAACCTGACAACCAAGAACATTTTATCTAGCAAAGCCAGATAAAGATGTACAGAAAAAACATGAGAGTTAATCATCACCAGAAATATGTTTAAAAATGCCAAAGGGAAATCTTAAAGAAAAGGATGACTTTAAGCAACATGAGATTATATGAAAGAATAAAACTGGTAAAAAGCATGCAGCCAAGTTCAGAACATTCTAATTCTGTACAGATTGCATATAAACCACTTACATCTTTAGTATGAAGGTTAATAATAATAATAATGACAGGTTCAAAAATTTGTTAAGGGACAGACAATGTAAAAAGTTATATAAATTATGACACCAAAAACTATAAAATGTGGGAAGGGGAGTAAAAGTATAGAACAAAGTTAAATTGTTATCAGCTTAAAACAGCCTGGTAATGTAAGACTTATGATAACTATGAAGCAAAAACATATAGTAGAGATAAAAGAAGATAAAAAAACTATGAAATCAAAGTATACCACTGGAGAAAAACAATATATATATATTCTCCAACCAACAAACACAGTGACTGAACAGTTCCATGAAAACAAGAGCAACTATATGCTGTCTACAGGAGATTGATATTACCTTTAAGCACACATATAAACTGAAAGCAAGAGGATGGAAACAGATATTACATGCAAATGGAGACCAAAAGATAAGAGTAGCTATACTTCAACCAAAGAAAATAGACTTTAAGGCAAAGTCTATAAAATAAAGGTCTTTACATAATAATCAAGAAGATATAACAATTTTAAGTATATATGGACATGAGGCTAGAGCACCTTGATAAGTGTGTAGAGAAAATATATCTGAAGGTAGAGATAGACTGTAATACAGTAATAGTAGTTGATTTTAATAACCTACTTTCAACAAACAGCCAGACAAAAAAACAAAACAAAAAATTCACCAGACTTCATACTTTAGATTAAATGGACCTAACAGACATACATCAAGCATTCAACTCCAAACCAGCAAAGTATCCATTCTTCTCAAATACACACAGAACATTCTATAGATTAGCCTACCAAGGCTACCAAACAAGTTGCAGCAAATTTACAATGTTGTAAAACTAGAAATCTGTAAGAGGAGTGACTTTTGAAAGTTCACAAACACACGGAAATTAAATGGGCTACTGAACTACAAATTTTAAAAAGAAACTAAAATATATCTTGAGACAAAAATGGAAACAACATACCAAATTTATGATGAAAGCAAAAGCACTTCTAAAAGATAAATATATAGCAATAAATGCCTAGATCACAAAAGGAGAAAGATTTCAAATAAACATTCTAATTTTATACCTCAAAGTCCTACAAGAATATACTAGGCACAGTTACCAAAAGGATGGAACTAATACCTATTATAGAAGACATAAATTAAAACTAAAATTATTCATCTCCTAAAAAATGAATTCAACATAATACTTTAAGGAAAAGGTCAGTTGTCACTGATAATTAACAGACACCCTTGACTTTCAATAAGTTATTTTTTTATGCAGCAGAAGGTATAGAAGACATTAAATTTCAGTCAAAGATTTTAGGGGGATGAAGTTAACTCTGAGCTATTTGCTAATCAGCTGGGAGCTTGGAAGCATAAGAGAAAGCCCAGAAAGAACTGATGACCAATCACAGGCTTAGCTAGGGCCCAAAGCAAGACAGTGCCTGACCATGCTTGTAAAGGTGCTCAAGAGCAGAGCAGAAGAATCACAGGCAGATTCATATATACATATGGTTACAATAAAAGTGCATGCTGATTTATACTACCTCCCTTCCAAAGGTTGCATTATGTCATTTCCGTCTCTCCACAACCTACGTGTTGGGTCCATACCGAGGGCATATAAAGTTCTGGTCAGAGCAGAGTGCAGTTAATTAGGGAAGATTTCCTAGAGATGAACTGGAGCTCGATTACAAAGGGGGTGAGAGGTGTATAATGGTGAATCATATTTTGATCAAAGTGCCAAGTAAAGAAGAATAAAAAGGACATAATGGGTATCACTTCATTTTGTTTGTGCAGATAATGGTATGGTTACCTGCCAAAAATGCGGAATCCTGGAGATTAGTTCTAAGTGGATTTTGTCTGATTTACGGAACAATGTAGGTGAAAAATTCAAAATTATTAAAACTACTAGCATTTGGGATTTTGATACTTTACATTGTTCCTATGGGAAATAGTCCATATT